TGCCTATGGACCCATAACTTGCGATCAGCTACCGAAATGAATAATGATTTAATAGGGCAGTCTCAAGGGAAATTTAATTGTAATCACGGGAATCACCATTAATTGCCAGGTCGCATTATTCATCAACAAATGCCACCCAGAAGATCTAATTCGATTTAGATTTAGAGGCCAAACAAGTTCTAGTTTTAAATGGAAAAACTAGTTGGTTTGGGCTTCCATTTAAAAAATTAACACATTTGCTTGAGATTTTACGAGTCACAAGTCAACGATCGAAAAACAACTACAACTTTGTTGCAACTGATGAGTTAAGATAAAGTAGAAAAAACCTATCTCGAAGGCAATCGATTTGGCAAGCAATATTTTCTTTAAACTAATTTACTAATGAATTTGGAGCGGTATTTTAAATTTAAATTGCAGTTTTATAACCAGGTAGAGATGCCCCATAAAAAAACATTTTTAAAACTTCCTAAGAGATAAAAAAAGAGATTTACGAGATCAAAAATCATTTTTCATATTTCCTGCTATATAATTTATTAGAATGCTTTTCACGACCCATTTTGCAGTTTTCCGTCCACTATTCTACACATTATTTTGAAGATCTAATGACGACAAGTCTTTAGATCCTGAACCGCAAAACCAAGTTTCTCTCCTCGGGCAAAGTGGAACGGAAGAGAGGTTGGAAAATCAAAACGCAGAAGGCAACAAACAACAACAAACCTCAAGACCTACTTCAACCGAGAAGAAGGAGAGAACGAGATGGCAAAAGAAGTAGGACAGCAGTAGAAAACAAAGACGGTCGAAAACAGGATGCGCATGCGCAGTAGAAACGAACCGAAATGGAACGAAACTAAAGGTGAACATCATTATCATCAGAACTGAACAACAAAGTAAGAGGAAAACGAAAAGGCGAAATCAAAGAAATCAACAAATAAAACTTAAAAGGAAACGATTCTCAGGGGCAGTGCAAACAGACACAAAAGATGAGGCAGAACACGATAAGGCGGCCCAAAAAGGAAATAGGGGAAGAGCGAACAAGGGAGTGCAGATGCCGAAAGGAGGGGACAAATGGGAATGGCAAACGATAAACGTCATCGGCCAGATTATGCTGCATAAATTATCAAATGCAGAAAAAGACACTACCAAAAGGGAGCGCCGCAAAAAGTGGGAAGAGATTCGAGTAAGAAGAGAGCCGGCGAGGAGCAGTCATTGCGCGGCTGTAAGTAATTGTAATTTACGTGAAAAAGGGTACTGACTCTACCCTAGCATTTACTATTGTGGTCAAAATGTTAGTAACTATTAGAATAATAGGAAATGGTATTAATATTAGAAATGTTACTGGTGACCCCGATACTTTTATAAGTTTTGGTAAAATATTACCAAGCTCTATTGTTTAACTTTTTGGATATTAAATATTTTAAAAAGTTTTAGAACAGATGATAACCAAAATGGTAAGCTACAAATGGTGACCCCGATCTCTCCTTATTATTTTCCATTTTAATATTTTCGTTTATTATTTAAAAATATATAATTATAATTAATAATATATTGAGTTCTCTTTCTTACATTTTAATAATTATACCCGTTACTCGTAGAGTAAAAGGGTATATTGTATTCGTGCAAAAGTATGTAACAGGTAGAAGGAAGCGTTTCCGACCCCATAAAGTATATATATTCTTGATCAGGATCACTAGCCGAGTCGATCTAGCCATGTCCGTCTGTCCGTCTGTCCGTCTGTCTGTCTGTCTGTCTGTCCGTCTGTCCGTATGAACGCTGAGATCTCGGAAACTATAAAAGCTAGAAGATTGACATTTTGCATGCAGATTCTAGGAGTTCCTACGCAGCGCAAGTTTGTTTCAAAAGGGTGCCACGCCCCCTCTAACGCCCACAATCGCATATATACGATTTTAAAAATTTCAATATTTTGGAAAAGTAAAAATGCAGTTTTATTGTGTTTATCAATACCTATCGAAATGTAGAAGAAATTTTTTAAATCGGACCATTCGTTAAAAAGTTACGGCGGATCAAAGTTTTTCTCCATCTCTTTCGCACTCCCTTTAGCTGAGTAACGGGTATCTGATAGTCGGGGCACCCGACTATAGCGTTCTCTCTTGTTTTTATTGTTTTCATATTTCTTTAAAAAGTATGCGGCTATTATTTTCCCCTGCACCATTTCTTGAGAGGCAAGTACTATTCTCAGCACCTGAGCTGTAGATTCTACCTACCTGAGACGTCGCGGCAAAGGTAAAGAGAACCTGAGGATGAGGCAATGAAAGGAGGGAGGAAGATGAGGCAAGAGCAAAGCCAGAACAGCACGTACAAGAAATTAGCAAACACAGAAAAAGAGCTAAGGAGAGTGCGATGAGGAGGGGCTGAAAAAGTCGTAAAGAAGTAAAAGCGAAACGACTGCGACAGCGAAACGGATTATGATGTTCCCCAACCTGATCATGATGATGATGAATGGATTGGTCTACGACTCACATAGACGGCGGGAGAATGGTGGAAAGGGGCTAGTCCAAAGGGAGGGGTCAGGGAAGTAGCCTGCGGGGGCAGTTGGACAAATGGAGTTACTAAAAAATAGAAAAAAAAAAGACACCAACACACACACATGACAAGAACATGAACATGGGCCACGCGTTCTCCGTCTCTTTCTTCTTTTCTGTAATCGTGGCCGGAATCGTAAAACGTGATCGAGGGCTTTATGTGTACAATACGTTTTGCCATGGGTCTGATTTTGTTGTTATTTTGGTAGTGTTCTTGTTTTTCAGTTGGCTTGGTCTTGTTGCTGGCACTTTTCAATGCCCTAAAAAACATACTTCTGATTCATGGTTAAAGTTCCTGGAACTTAATAATCACATAAAGATTATTATATTGATGGTATTTTAAGAAATAGTATTTCTTACTTCTTGTATATTTTTAATATATAAGACATATTTTGAATTTATTTCGAAAAACGATCCTTTCATAGCTCCATCATATCGAAGGTTTTCCTAAAGAGCATTTAGTTTGTGTCTGTGGCGCTTCTACAAAAACCTAATTTTACTTTCTTTGGCCACTTTATTCTTAACCTTTTTAGTTTCTATTTTACTCTGCTTTTGCTTTGATTTTATTTTTATTTCTTTATCCAATGTTGTGTGGCTCTTGTATCTCAATGTATGATTATTTTGTTTTCTACTCCTTCCAACCGACAACTTTTTCATTATAGCGGAATAAAACAAGCGAAATCAAAGAACAACAAGGGTTCTTTTTTTTGTGTGTGTGTTGTTTTTGTTATTTTAGCTGCTTTCAGCTTGTAATCTCAATTTTCGGTTTTAGCTCTTCAGATAGCTACAACTCCCTCTACTTTTCCTGTCTTCTGTCTTTTGGTGGGTAATTTACAAGTCTGGGCAGCAAAATTTACATGCCGACACCGACTTGTTGTTGTTTTTCTTGAAATGTTGTTGCTGTTGAACTGTTGTTATTGTTTTTGAATTGTTGTTGTAGACTTTTGGATGGGCTTGGCTACATTAACTGATGTTGTGGGTCAATGATTCAGCGCGTGGATCCGCAACAGCTGTGCGAACTTTTTACGGATCGTTTGGAGGAAGTTTATTTGAGTGAGAGAAATGGGAGTGGATATTCAAGATTTTCAAGGTATGACCTCAAAGAATTTTTATAATTTTGAAATGGAATTTGCGAAAAAATGTGTTTGGTAGTCCCAGCTTAAGATCATTCTGCATGAATAGAAAATATGTCGTTAGATCTTTTCCATAGATCTTTCCAGTAGATCTCTTTTTTTAAGATTATACCTAATTATTAAATGTTTCTTTGTACGTGCTTATCCAAGCATAAACCATGATAATAAATCCAACTGGAATGCAAATGATGGCATTTTTTTGATAGATAGAAAGTATTTTAATCAGTGTTTCTGTTTAGAGTGATTAAGCTCATTAAATCGAAGTGGATGACAAAGTACAACAATGTAAAATGTAAGAAGAGATGTTAGTCTGCTCCCTTAGTTGCCTTGGCAGTACTTCATTGTGGATCACCACATCATTTTTTGAAGAAAAACAAACAATATTTTTCTTATCAGCCAGAAACAAAAAAGAAACTCCTTGGTGTGCTCATCTGGCGGTTGTTGATTCTTTTTTATTCTTTCTTTTATTTGAGTTTCTAACCCATCAGCAAGCGTCTCACATTCGATAAGAGTTTTTCATGGAAAAAATGGTATTTGTTTCCAAGTAGGGAACATTTATAAAGTGTGATATCGTTGAAAACGCGCTTGAAATGGCACCTGACATCTCATAAAACGAATTTGCATAACTGCTAAGTCTCCATAATCAGCACAGTAATCTCAAATAATGCCAATTATTATTAACGCGCCACTGTAAGCGTCTGATGTTCCGCCCACTCGCCCACCTTCAAAAGCAACTCCCACGTAGTTATTAGTAAAAGAGCAAAGGCGACAAAAAGAACGCCGAAGAATTAAACAGTGATCACTAAAAAATTGGTACTCAGATATTAAAGCGTTCGGAAAATTATAATTTTGTTAAAAGAGGCTAATTCATTTGATTCCTCTGCATCCACATGTTTCATTACTGTAAATTTTGTATTATGGCAGTGGCAAAAACTTCAATTAACGAGTCCTCACTGTACAGCGAAACCAATTAGCAGAGATGAGAAATTCGAGAACCGATCGCGAACAATTACGTGAATAATTTACAGCTGAGATATGGGCTACTAAAGCTGCCAACGCATTGTGGGATCAGGTAGATCATACAGAACCGGTTAAGAGAGGGTGTTTTTGTGTTTTTTAATCGAAGTGTGGATTCTACACGGTAAAAACATAATAATGTGATATCATATCAAACAGACATGACAGAGAAACCGCTTAATTTCTTTGAGCAAATGGTAATTATATCCTTGAAAAGATAAAAATGAATTCCCTCAAGATTTTTGGGTACAAAAGAAACCCTTGATGGATTTGTTTTTTCACTGTGTACGAGAAGGAATGGAGTACTTACCGGTCTTGAGACGATCGTTAATTAGATCCTCGATGAGCTGCGGACACTCGCACTCGATGGCGTAGCAGAACTGCTTGAACTTCTCGAATCCGTTCTTGGCGATGATCTCGATGAGATTGGAGCACTGGAGTCGCAGGATTTCGGCGTCGTTTAGCCCGGAACATAGTCCCCCGCCAGAGGGCGTTAGTGAGCGACTGTCGCAGTTGGCGTCTCCGTTGACGCTGGCGCAGCGGGAGGATCCACTGCCCCCGCTGCCCCCACTGCCCCCGCTGGCCGTACTGCCACTGCTGGCGACGGCACTTAGCTTTCGCTTGGTGAGCGAGGGTGCACTGCCAGGAGGCTCCACTGTGGCAGAGGCGGCCGCCGAGGGCGTGGGCGTAACTGCACTGTAGGGCTTCAGCAGTAGATCCTCTTCCGACTGGCTGAGCACCGAGTTCTTGACCAGTACCGCCAGCAGATCGGTACTCCCCAGATCCAGCATTATGCGCTCCTGGTGGCGGGAGAGCAGAGAGCGCACCTCTTCCTCTTCCTCGCGCGTCATCTTGGCTTCTTCCGTTGCTTACTGTTATTTCTTACTGTTACTTATTGCACTCTCCAGCTACACAAACAAATCACGCTGCCAATTTTCCGGCATTTTCTTATGAGATTTACGGGATATATAATTATTACGTATATTCACGATTATATTTGGATATTTTATGGTTTTTAAATAATTTGTATTTGATGTAAAATAAGTTGGGATGAATATTTGCTTTTGCTTAACTTTATTTGTTTGTTGTATTTAGCCAAACAACTTAACCTTTGTTTTCTTATTATTTTCACTTTTTTTGGTTTTGTATGTCGTTAAATGATTATTATAAAGATTTCGTTTTCATTAATATGTAATTCATTACTTTTTCTTTGTTTTTTACTTTATTTTTAACTATTGCTGTTAATGCAAGGGTTTAATCATTTCGCTTTTTGTATTAAGAAATTGGATTTCTTTACTTTCTTACAGAGAACACTTGAAAAACGCGCGCCTTTTATTTTCGTGTGTTTGTTTTTATACGTCGCTTAGCCGCTCGCAATAAATTCGTAAACTCGATTGTTGGTCAAAAATAATATATATTTTCGAGATCAAATATTTATATTTTTACCGGCACTTTATCTGATTCGTATTTTTTGTTGTTATTTGAAAAACCCATACGCAATTTGACGGCTTTCGGTACCGCACGCTCGGCGCTTGAAAAAAAATTACCGAGTGGATAAAGTTGCGAGTTGCTTATATAGATTTCAAGTCCACGACTCAGACCGTTCTCTCTCATTCGGTCTCTCTCAGAGTGGTTTCACGGTACCCTGTAGTCGAAGAGTTTGATGTTTTCGTGCTTGAATGAAAATGGTAAATAATAAGGAAAATAATGTGATTAAAAAGTGCACTGGCTTAGAAACGATCTTAGAAAACAAAATTGGAAAGTTAATTATAAAAAATAGCTTTTTTAAGTTTGAAGGTCGATACTAACGAGATACTTAGAAGAAATGTGGCATTCATTTTGGCAACATATTTAGTATCTAGACATACATACATATCTAGACATACAAGTAGGTACACAGAATTTTCTAATACAATTTTGTTACTCGGTATTTTTTGGTCGATTAGATTTATTTTCCCAATTTGAGTGAACTTAGGCAAGAGAATAAGGCAAAACCGATTTTCACAGAGAGAGCAAATGAGAGGGAAGAGCGAGAAAAGTGTAATTGCGTTTGATTGTTCATGCATTTTCACTGCAGCTGCAATGGGCAGATATGCGTGAGTGTGTTAGTGAGGCGGCGAGTGTGAAACAAAATCAAACAAAAAGTAATTGTGTTTACATTGCACTCTCTCAGTTTCTGACTTTACCTTAACAATTGCTTTTGTTTTTTTGACTTTGCTCGAATATCACGTAGATAAACGTAAGCGTTAAATACATTTATTTTTACTTTATGTCAATCAAATATATTACACTCATTTTATAAACCGTTTTAATTACCAAAATATAATTAATTTACATATAAAATATTTATAAAAATACATAATTACATTGTACATAATTGTACATAATTTAAGATTTTTGCAATGTATGGAAAATAAAATGAAATTTATTGACATAATTTAAAATCATGAGGAAAATTCCCAAATTAACAGTTTTGAATAAATATAAAAAAATGTTAGTTATTTATGACTTATGACATCAAAGAGATTTATGGCTTGTGTAAAAAGAAAACTAATATTAACAAACTTTTTAAGCAATTTAGTAATAATATCATTATTTTTGGAATTAAACAGAAACACCGAATATGCTAAAGTAACAATAACATTTACAAACTTTTTAAACAATTTACGGATTAACAAAATATCGTTAGCAGGCATTTATTATTTTTGGAAATAAACAGCAACACCGCCTAGGAGCCTTCAGTCAAGACAGCTTCGAATTAACATATCGTGTGGGCATAATGAGGACTCTCTCGGGGTTCAAAAACCGGAATCGGAAGCAGTCTTACGGTCTGCGACACCTAGCCTTGATTAATTGCCGACCGGCCACACACTCAGCCACATGCTTAGCCGTTTATCTCGAGTGCTTTGCCATTTTACAATCTGTTGGCCAACTTGTAACCGGTCATCAGAAAGGAGGCAGACACTGATATAAAATCCATCTGAAAGGTAGAATTAAAATTTATTGCTATCTAATTGTTTATTTTTATTTCATTCTACTTGCGTATACATTTTAAAAGATTAATAAAAACCTTTTAGAACCTTTTGTTTTATTTTCAAATACTATACTAGTAATACTTTTTCCCCACTGTAATCCACATCCACATCATTACAGAAGGGCTCTAATTACGTGTGTTTGAATTGCGGCGTTCTGATTAAGGCCCTTTTGCAGGCCAATCGATGACTGCATTGGAATAATAATAACAGATGTTTAGCCAGACCCTGGAAACGGATAAGGATAATTAAAGGAAATTAGTGATGGAGCTGCCGAACGGTGGCCAGATTCCAATGGGGTGAACTTCTGGTTAATCGTTCTGTTCTGTTCTGCAATCTTTGAATTCCAGTCCAACATTCCTGATATTTTCCGCCTGTCAGCAGATTAGCAGGTGTCTCCGCCCCCAAGTGAGGCAATAGCTAAATTGTTCGCATAAATTGATTACAATAATTTGCCTATCCCCCAACTTTAAGCCGCCCTCTGCGAAATAACCTCGCTGCTGGTAAATATTCTAAACTATCTGAAAGAATAATAACAACAAGTTGCCCGGTCGGCTTCCATAATTTATGCAGAAATGCAGTCGAACCCAATGAAAAGTGTCGTTCGCAAATCTAGGCGGTAAATTGCTTTTTGCGATTTCAAATGCACTCCCACAGCTCTAAGGCAAAAGTTGTCAATCAAATACATATGTTCTTCAATCTGAAAAAAAGGGAAAAGTAGGTGTACTAGGTATCCGATGGGAATGATAGAATTATGTTATAGTTCTAAAGCAAAATAATTATAGAGACTTTCTTATTTAACAAGGCTTATATGCCAAGATTTACCAAAAAAAAACCTAATACATCATTATTTTATTTGAAAAATGTGCTGTTTTAAAATCGAGTGACCACTGTAGTTCTTAGGTGGGTGTAGAGAAAAAAAAAAGAGCTGAATTGTGCGAATGTTTGTGGAAAGCCTGGAATGCAAATTACTATTATTACCGGACAATTGCTCTGTGCTGTGAGTGCAGTCAAATATAAGTACATATATATAGTAGGTACAAATGTATAAAACACCACCCGAAAGGGAAAATTGAATGGCACAAAAATCTCGAAGCTGATTCACCCCACTCTAACTTATTGGGATTACGATTACACATTCAGCAAACTGAGGAAATGGGGAAGGGAGTGGAGGAGTTTTATCAATTGGACCACATGTTCTTGCCCAGTGTTCCCATTTTGTATTGCTCGTCACGTCTCTGCAGCTTCCTCTGTAATTAAGGCAGGGCGGGGAAGAAAAACTACAGTCCAACGTCTATAAGTAAGTACTTCCGTAAATTATGGATTCACTGCAGTGGAACTTATGAGTTTCTTGAGTAGTTTAAATGAACTTACTATAAAATATTATATTACATTAAAATATTATCATAATTATTAAAAAAAAGTTTTTATATACCTAGACGTTTGAATTTCTGAGGCTGCACTGTATTAAGTTTCTAGAATTAAGAGGTTGTACGCCTCCTTCCGATTGTCTGTCTTTCTTCCGGGGTGCAAAAGTCAGTCCAAGCTGTAAGAAGACCCCTGAGTCATCCATCAATCGCTGGTGCTGGACTAACCCCCAGACGAATATCTTACCTTACCCTTCTCGGAGTTTCAGGTGCACTTGCTGGCTAATCATCTTGGGGAATTGCCGAGAACCAGCTCCATTTGCCGATTAGCAGACCCACCGCACGTGGTAACGCTCGTCGGCACCATTTGAGTTATTGTGGAATTTTTATTATTTCGTAATTGCCTTATCAAGCACTGCAGACCGACTGGCGTGCTGTTTTCTAATCTGGACCAGGAGAAAGGCCATTAAAGCTGAATGTCCAGCTGGAACGCAGTGCAAACTGCTGTGAGTAATGGTCGTCAAATGGTTCTGCAGGTGGTAATTCAGTTTAATTGTTTTTAGTGGCTTCGTAACCTGCTTTGAATGGGTCTAATGGACTCTAAATTGGCACATCGATTACATGGATTGAAGTCGAATCAAACAACACAAGATATTTTAGCTTAATTGTTTAATTTATTTGTTTTATTGAAGCTTATCCGCTAAATTGGCTTCAAATAATAAAGGAGAAAGAATGGAGTTTAACATAAATTCTAAAACTTATAAAAATCGGGGTTGAGATTTTTGCCATAAGAGTTCTCCATTACTTGTTCCCCAAAGTGGTTCACCCTAATTTCCCAATCTCAATTGATCTTAAAACATAACCTCTGCCAACTGATAACCGTTACTCCTTTTCCACCTGCTCTTTCTTATTCCAGTACGAATAGACCCGTAACTCTCCAAATCGAGATGAATGGAAAGGGAAGGTGGAGATAGTGAGGGCTCCAAAAAGATTGCTCTCACTTTCGTTCAAGCGATGGCCGCAGTCAGAAGTGAATTCCCAGGCGAACCGATCAGTTATACGAACACCAATACTTCCAACAAATCCAATTGCCTGAGGTCCGTGAAAAAACGTGTGACCACGTGTTTGCAGCAGTTGCGTGAAAAACTACCGGCATCCGGATCTTTTCGCAAGAGTTCCTCCAGCCGTTTTTACAAGATCTTCGTAAAGGCTGAGTTTTCCGCCTTTGGAGAGCGTTTTCAGAAGATCTTTAAATCGGCGCGAAAAACCGAATCGCCGGAGTTGTGGAAAGTGCCGTTGGCCCATGACGTCACCGGGCAGAGCGGCCAGCAGTTGCAAATCGTAGCCAGACTTTTCTCATCCACGCTGATTTCCACCAAGGAAATCCACTACAACAACAACAGCTATAACTATAAAAGCCGGAAAAGCGAGAGCTACAACAGCAACATGACCATCATCGAGAGCAACTATATAACCGTGCGCGAGGAATTTCCCGACATCGATGCCGAGGTTCGCGCCATATTGCTGACCCATGCCCAGAATGGAATCACGATATCGAACATCAAAAGTGAGTAGCTTTTTATTCTTCAGCAATTATTTTAAAATTTATTTCTCAAAAAAAAATTAATTAAAGTTTCGGTCTAATGGAATGACATACCATGATATACAGGGGTGGTCAAAAGTATTTGCACAAATTACACCTCATAAGAAATGTGCAAATACTTTTGACCACCGCAGTTTAATAATAGCTATACAATTCGAAAACATAAAAAAATTATTTTTTTGTATTAAAACGTTTTTTTAAATTTTAAAATGTGTTTTTTAAAAGTTTACCTGAAAAATTAAAAAAAAAAACACGTGGTACAGATAAGGTTGCTCTCACGCTTCGAAAGAGTTTTTGGAAAACTGTACTGGAATTGCCCGAAGTAAACTGAATAGAATCCATTATTTTTCCGCAAATGTGCACCATTTAATTTTTTTTTATTATTTTAATTTTATAAACTAAAATATTTCTAAAAATTTCAGTGCCAGAAATAAATAATATAGTTTTGATTTTCCAGGTGAATATCGCAAACAGACGGGCAACGCATTTCCACTGCACGACAACATAACGGACTTCCTGCTGACCATTCCCCATGTGACCGCCGAGTGCAGCGAGTCCGGCAAGCGGATCTTCAACCTCAAGCCGAACCTGAAGAACCGCCACCTGCTGGAGATGGTTCTCAACCAGAAACAGCGCGCCAGCGACTACAGCAGCGGAGCTCCGTCCTTAGAGGACAAACCCCGAGCACCGCCGCGCTACTGGAAGAATCCCTACAAACGGCGGGCTCTTTCACAGCTGGACAACAACCTAAACACCGTGCACAAGCTAACGGATGAGCAGACCAAGGCGATCAACACCAAGGCGGCTCCGCTGCAGCAACTGGCCAAGGAGGCAGCGGAGTCGAACTGGTGCTACCAGGATAATTGGAATCATCTGTGAGTACCACACAAATAATTACATTTTATTTTAAAAGCTTTTTAAATAATTCAAATACTAACTTAACTTGAATTAAAAAATTTCGAAAGATATCGGATATAAAACTTGTTTATTAATAGTTAATTCTGTGTAAAAAATATATAACCTATCTATCCATAAAAAAGTGTCACTTTTTGCCTGAAAATTTGTCGCTAAAACAAAGTTTAAGTACATTTATTAATAGCCAGCAATACATTGTAAATATAACACAGATTTTAACTAAATTAATCATAGTTTATTACAATTTGTTATTATTCATTTGCCTTACAAAAAAAGAAAAATCTTCCTCAATAAAGATGCTAGACTTTTAAGTTGTTAAATAATTTTTTTTAATTGTGATTTTTATGAACCACTCTTTAAAACGTTTTTAAATTTAATTAATCATATTTTTAAATAAACATAAGTTTCAAAGATTATTAATTTTAATATTTCATTTTTTAAGCATAGAAGCAAATAATTATGCTTAAACATAACATAATCATAAACATAATATAATATTCCTTATTATGCGTGTTGCACTTTGAAGTGTGACACTATTTCGATCAAAATTTGGTTTATTAAAGTAATATATTTTACCTGAATCCTTAGGAACAACTTCTACCAGCAATCCAGAGTAAATGAACCACAGATGCCGGTGCCCATCAACATTTACAGCGATGCAACAGAGGAGCCAACCCAGTTGGATGCTCCCGAGCATCACCCACACTGCCAGAACCACAACGAGAATCAGAATCCGAATCAGCATCAGAATACCAAACAGAACGTAAACCAGCACCTGGGCATTTTCGTGCAGCCTTTCAATGATATGAACATTATGAAGAGACGCCACGAACTGACGCCCACACCCACGACATTATCGAGTGGAACCTACAACGATTCGATGCTGACGATCAATTCGGACTACGATGCCTTCTTACTGGACTTTCCCCTCATGGGCGATGATTTTATGCTATATCTCGCCCGCATGGAGCTCAAGTGCCGTTTCAGGCGCTACGAGCGGATCCTTCAGTCGGGCCTTTGCGTGTCCGGACAAACGATCAACGGCGCCCGGAATCGGTTGAAGAAATTCCACCTTCCCGAGGGCACCCAGATCATCGTGAATATCGGATCGGTGGATATATTGCGGGGCAGGCCTTTGGTTCAGATCGAACATGACTTTCGGCTGCTGATCAAGGAGATGCACAACCAGCGATATGTGCCCATCCTCACGAATCTCGCACCGCTGGCAAACTATTGCCACGACAAGGATCTGTGCGACAAGGTCAGCCGATTCAACAAGTTCATCCGGGCCGAGGGCAGACACCTGAAGGTCGTTGACATACACTCCTGCCTGATCAACGAAAGTGGCATCGTGCGATTCGATTGTTTCCAGAGGTGAGTGTGATTTATTCTATTAATTCCTTTGAAAATTATCAAATTTATTTGGTTTATATGCCTGTATTCATAAATAAATATATGTACATTAGGGCGGTCCAAAAAATGAAATTCTATTCTCACCCCTTTACATGGTATATTAAAGCAAACAAAAAATGTATGTGAAAACTAAAAAAAAATTTTGTTCGTGATTTAGACCTTGCGAAACGTCTTCCAGTTTAACAATTCGAATTTGGTCGAAAAAAAATTGTTCTCCCATTTCTTGTCTTTTCAAATTATGAATTTCGTTGGAATTATTGTTAAAAAAAAAGGGAGAGCAAAACATCAACTGAATCGTTGAAATCTATGCCACATAGAATAAAAAAACTTTTTGATCGAAGGCAACTGTGCGTATGGGTGATAAACTTTGAAGTCACTTCCCAGACCCTAAAACGCGATTTTTTCAAAAATGTTTTTTTGGTTTACCTTGAATACCACAATGCGCTCCGTATAGGCCGGTGAGAGTAGGACCTTAAAAATTTCCATACAAATGTGGACCGCCCTAAAGTACATTGTACAATGTTCATTAGTACAAAAATAATAATTTAGATCTGAATTAATTCAAAATAAATAAATAAAAAGTTATACAAAAAAATAATACTTTTAAAAAATGAAATATTATTTTTACAAATTTTTAAACATTTTTATTATTTTTATATTTTAGTAAACATTCTATTAAATATTATTTAACTTGTTTTATTTTGGTATTATTTTTATTTGTTTTATAAAAAAAGTCGTAACTAAATTAAGTTAAAGTTGTATATCAAAATTTAATAATTAATTTAATATTATTTTTACAGCTCACCACGCCAAGTCACCGGTTCCAGGGAACCATATCTGTTCTGGAACAAAATCGGCCGTCAGCGCGTGCTTCGAATTATTGAATCGAGTCTGGAGTATTAACTTGGGTTTCCTATCCGAGATATGTGGACTGGGCTGGTACCAGAATCAACCATGAAGATTTTTGATGATTTTACGATTTACGCTGATGGCTCGCTGTTTTTACGGAATTCGCTTAATTTTAATATGTTTTATATGTACGTCCCCTGTGTCTTTGTTAATATATGTTCGTGTACTTGTGTTAGTCCCTAATTGTATAAAATTGTGTGTTCCGTGTTCTTTGTTAGATTTTAACTTCTTTTTTTTCCGCTGCCTGTGATTTATTTCGCATACCCATTGATTTTCTGCACACTTTTTGCTCCTGTCCCAAAAGCTGTGTGAAAAATCGAATTCGAAATAATTGCAAGCAGTTGAAAACTTTTCCTCTTTTCCCAAACCATTTTCCCTTGAAATCTATATTTTAAATCGGATTGCAATGAAAAATGGAATTTAAATGCAAATCATTGCAAATGTTATAAACTGTTTTTTGTTCCACACTTTTTGTGGGCCAAAATGCTTCATGCTCCTGTATAGCAACCAGCCACACGCCTCCTTGGAAAAGGAGGAGTGGGCGTGGCCAATATACATTTGAGCCATGCTGGATTTTGGCTGTAATGAAAATGCACTTGGTTCACTTGGAAAATTCGCTTGCACAAAATCAACGCCGCGGCTGATTTATTATTAATGTGCTCAAGCAAATTCAAGTGAAGCATTTGCGCGATTTTCGTCTTCCTGTTTCCGTTGAAAAAAGTTTATAAAAAGCTTACACTCTGCTGCAGACACGCCACCGGAAGTGCGCACTAACCGTTTGTTCGTAGCACAGTGTAGAATTTCAGTGCAAATTACTACTCTACTCTAAACTCTTCTAGATAGCTATTTACTATTTATAAACTAATTTATTGTCTTGAATGTATGTTAATTGTATGTTTTGATGGTGATCACGTTTTTTTTGTCCTATAACAAGAAGCAATGTAAAATCCAAAAAAAAATGAAAAAAATAAAACAAGGGAAATAACAATGAGTGCTCTGCATTTTAAAATATTCAATGGGGCGAAAGGGTGTTATATCTAAACGCACTACAATATTTTATATAATCTACAGGTTCTTAAAATAATTCGATTCGACTTGAATATCATTAAAATTTCCACGATAACTTTAACTCTTAACTACATTTCGTTTTAACTGCAAAGTTAACTTAATTTTTAAAACAATTTTAAACGTTCCCGCCAAATAGGTTTAAACCCTTGCTAAGTTCACCAAAGTTCCAAACCTAGTGTTGAGTTTGCAAACATTTTCAGCTTTATCGATTGCAGAAGCGTACGAAAATCAACGCTATCGAAGTTTAACCACCTCCATCAGCAGGCGACGGCAAAAAAGTCTAAAAAAGTAAGCAGCTTTAACGTCAAAATTCGCCTTTAACTCACTAGTGGTACGTTTTTACTTGATTCCAGAACAAAATGGCTTCATTCTTGGCAAGAACGGGCGGTCCCCTAATCGAAACCGTTAGGCCAGCGGCCGTGAAGAAGGTAAGTCCACCAATTAAAGGTCATATTTTTGTAAAAATGCAAAAATCAGTCGCTTTACATAATAAGGCGAAAAGAGAGAGGTGCTCATTCTCTCTCTATCGATATCTCTGTCCTGCTCTCACATGGGAAATACGTTAGTTGAGATCGTTTATCGCTAGTGCTAATTTAAAGTCCCTTTAATTTGTTAAATAAATAATTCCGTAGTGAGCGAGCTTAAGGGGGCTATATGTTTTGGATCCAAAGAGAGTCACGATCGCATAAAGACACCTGACTTTTTTTTTTTGTATCAGTGTGACGCAACTCTGCGGGTTTTATTTGTGTGCGTAGGGACCTTGAAAGCCTTATTTATTCCCCCGTCTTAATTTTCTTTTTTATCAATGAGCGGATGACAACTGTTGCTTTATCATTTGTTGTTGTTGTTGCTGTTGCTATAGTCGCCGGGCCCTCTAATTAAATTCTTAATCTGTGAATTAGTTTTGGTTATCGCCGGGAAACGACGTTAGCCGCCCAGACTTGCTCTTAACCCAGATTTCGTCTCTTGCTCTTTTTGTTTATGTTTTTTTTTTCGGATGAATCAGCGAACCAGTTTTTTCATACATTTTTGCTTGACAATGACCTCGTGACTGGAATTAAGGTTTCAGTTATTAGATAGTTTAATCATTTCTTTTTACGTTTTTATTATAACTTATCATTTTTTTATTTTCAAATAATATTATAGAATTTTCAAATAATATTATAGAATTTTCCAATAATATTATAGAACTTTCAAATAAAATTTTCAAATAATAGGTATTATAGAAATTCCTTCTTTCTTGATAAGATAGAACAAAAATATCAGAATTCGTCAGAAAAAAATTATTTTAGCTAATAAACTATTATAAAAAGATTTTTTTATTCTTTGGCTCTAAAAATATTTATTATTCGATTTTTTTTCTTAATAGGATAGAACAAAAATATCAGAATTCACCAGAAAAAATTTATTTTAGCTAATAAACTATTATAAAAAGATTTTTTTTATTCTTTGGCTCTAGAAATATTTATTATTTGATTTTTTTCCAGATCCTTGGCCTTGCTCCCATCGCCGTTCAGCAGCTGAGGAACCTCAATGTCCAGGAGCACGTTTCCTACAGTCTCCTCAACGAGAGCAAAATCCCAACACCTCGGTGAGTAAACCCAAATCAACAGGAATTATCAAAATCGCGAGAAAACAACCAACAATAGTCAGCCACAAAGTTGCCGTCCAAAGTTCAACGAAAGTGCCGCGTTGTCGTTGCGTCGACGGTTTCTTTGGTTTATTTTCGTTTCGGACTTTGTCTCGAACTTAATAATTTGCATTAATTAGCTCGGGGTAAACAAACCATAGAAGCGCAGCCACCGATGATAAGGGTGATAACAAGTAATGTACTATACTTTGATCGGCATAAAGTGACAAGGGTCAGTGACGTGGGATGTGATAAGATGTTAAAGTGGAAGTATAAGATAGTGGCAATAATAGCAATATAACATTTCGAATGAAATTGTAATCTGCAATAAATTTAAAAACAATTGAAAAAAAAAAAAATTTTGATCATATCTAATCAATTTATTAAATGTTTAAAAGCACTATTTTCTTTAAAAACCATCTGAAAATCATCAAAATAATCAAAACTTTCAATATTTCTTAATTTAAGAAATAAATAAACATAGTTTAAAATTTTTCTAAAGTTATTTAATTAAGAAAATATTAATCTTAGTTTTAGTCATATCTAATGATTTGATTAAGTCTTCAAAAGCACTATTTTCCTTAAAAAACAAGAGAAAACTAATTTAATAAATAAAAATAATTATTTTAAAAAAAATTTATCACTTTTAATATTTTTTAATCGTTAACGTACTAAGGAACGCTTACTTGTCCTAATATTAAGATAATAGTAGATTTTAGATTCCTTTTTTTTATACGTTTTTCGGGTTTGAAAAATAATATTTGTTTTAAATGCGGATGAGATTAAACCCAAAGCAAAATCATGCGATTATGCTGTTCTCAAGGTAGGCTTTTCATCTCCCGAATGACCGAATAACCTTGTCCCGAATGCCCAGCCTTCGTGGCTTACAATTTTGAGGTCTACTGATAAGCGAATTCACGTGAAATGCTCTTATCAGCAAAAATTCATTGGGGCATCGTAAAGAGAGCTCCCAGAAATTATTTTCCATACTAAGTGAGTCATTTCTTTTGCAGTTTCGCTGTTGCCAAGAACGGCAAGGAGGCCAACGATATTGCCACCAAGCTGAAGACAGATAACCTGGTGCTGAAGGCTCAGGTTCTGGCCGGAGGTCGCGGCAAGGGAACCTTTAAAAATGGTCTCAAGGGAGGCGTGCGCGTGGTCTACGAGTAAGTTCTTATAAATGATAAATCTACCTGCTTAAATATTCATATAAAATTATCATTACTTTGCAGCCCCCAGACCGCTGAGGAGATTTCCTCCAAGATGATCAATCAGCTTCTGGTCACCAAGCAAACCGGAGCAGCTGGTCGCATCTGCAACAAGGTGATGGTGGCCGAAAGGAAGTTCCCCCGCCGCGAATTCTATTTTGCCGTGATGATGGAGCGTGCCTTCAACGTAAGTCGAAAAATCTCTCTTAAACTTTAAATTAATTCTTAATTCTTTAAATTCCAGGGTCCCGTCTTGATTGCCTCCAAGGAGGGTGGCGTTGACATCGAGGAGGTGGCTGCCAGCAGTCCCGAAGCCATTCTGTACGAACCCATCGATATTGGCACCGGTTTGACCTGCGAACAGGCCCAGAAGATCGTCAAGAAAGTTGGCCTGGGCGGCGAGGGCGAGGACACACACGTCCAGATGTTGTTGAACCTGTACGATCTGTTCGTGAAGAAGGATGCTCTGCTGGTTGAGATCAATCCCTACGCCGAGGATGCCATGACCGGCTGTAAGTTTGTAAATCTTCTTTAACAGTATTGTTTTGTGGTCTAATTCTAATGCCTCATCTCATTTCTCCTAACAACTTAACCCATTTGTGAATGTCATTCTAATGGATTTCATGTTTTCTGTCCAGGCTGTAAGTATATATCGCCTACTAACAAGCTCATTCACATAAACTTAGATTAAACTATAGCCAAACTAGAGCCCTGCGTGAATCATTCAAATTTTGTTTTATCATAGTATGCCATGAAATTTCTGATTTGTTTAATTCAATTCTATGTGAAATAAATTCAATGTTTTTCTAATTAATTTCAAATTGAATGAATGAATTAATAATTTTTATGAATTTTTTGATTTTGCTAGATTTTTTTGTGCTTTCTTTTAAGAACAAGAAGTGGAAAATTTTTAACAAATTTAATTCAACTCTATGTGAAATAAATTGAATGTTTTTCTACTTAATTTCGAATTGAATGAATGAATTAATAATTTTTATAAATTTTTTGAATTTTTTGAATTTTTCAGATTTTTTTTGTGCTTTTTTGAGAACAAAAAGTGGACAATTTTTAACAAATCAATATTAACTGCTTAGTAAATAAAATTCAGGCAGATTTAATCACAAAATTATGGCACCTTCTTCTAAAGAAATTGTTGTTTGAATTATTTCGGAATTCCTGCCAATCATTCATTCAATTCTATTAAACTCAAAATTCTAATTAATTCATTCATATAAAACAAAAAATTCAAAATAATTCATTGAATCCCATTCATGCAGGGCATGAATCCCAACCCCAAATCAGATATTTAATCAGTTAATATGCTTCTCCTTAGTCTTTGCACTGGACGCCAAGCTGCGTTTCGATGACAACGCCGAGTTCCGGCAGAAGGAGCTGTTCGCTCTGCGCGACTGGACCCAGGAGGATCCCAAGGAGGTGGAGGCCGCCAAATACAATCTGAACTACATTGCGCTGGACGGCAGCATCGGCTGCATGGTGAACGGCGCTGGTCTGGCCATGGCCACCATGGACATCATTAAGTTGTACGGCGGCGAGCCAGCCAATTTCCTGGATGTGGGCGGCGGTGCCACTGCCGAGGCGGTCAAGGCCGCCTTCAAGATCATCACCTCCGACCCGAAGGTGCTGTGCATTCTGGTCAACATCTTCGGCGGCATCATGCGATGCGATGTCATTGCCGAGGGCATCATTTCCGCCACGAAGGACCTGAATCTGAACCTGCCCGTGGTTGTGCGTCTTCAGGTGAGTTTTCAGCAGGGTTCGGAATTTGACACACATGTTGAAAACATGAAAAATTGTATTTTACAGTGTGAGCAAAGTTGTTGACATGTGTGTCAAATACAAAAGTGTAAAAAGCAGGGACCGTAAATAATCATTATTTGAGATTTTTATTTTAAAAGGCCTACTGAGGTTTTTACATATTTTAATCAACAATTTAACTGGTTTTTATGTACTTTATAGACATGAACAAATAACAGTTAATTTGCTTTCCAGATTTGTTGAAATGCATATACTTTGTGGACAAGAGTAAAAAGAACGTTATTTTTGACGTTTAAAACAAAATATCACAGTAGTCTTTTTAAAATAAAAATCTCAAATAATGATTATTTTCGGTCCCTGGTAAAAAGTGTTATTAACACGCCGTGTTTTTTACACGGTGTATTTTTAACACCATGTGTTTTTGACTTCAAAATTGTGCAAGTCAAAAAAACTGTTAACATTTTATAGAATTCTATACTCTTTTAAATATTATACAAAATAAAGACTCGTTGATTCGTGTTAATAACACGTCGTGTAAATAACACAAATGACATGTCTGTGTTATATATGTTTCTAACATATGTAGGCTACAATTTTTAACACACATGTCAATTTTTTTTTTAACTTAACACTTTGACATTTAACATGTTAATAACACAAGTTTTTTACAGTGTGTGTTATTTTCAGAACCCTGGTTTTCAGCGATATTTGTATTTTACGTGATCATTTGTCTAACCAAACGATTCGTTTTGCAGGGCACCAAGGTCGAAGAGGCCCGCGAACTGATCCGCACATCTGGACTGAAGATCCTGGCCCGCAACGATCTGGACAAGGCCGCCGACCTGGCCGTTCACTTGGCGCAGATCGTCAAGCTGGCCCGCGAAATGAAGATGGACGTGAACTTCGAGATTCCCGATGCCGAAAAGTAGATAGCTCCATCAGTTTACCGGCTAAGTCAACCCTCATAAGCACACGCAGACACAAATGAAAGTCGACAAGAAAAGTAGAACCAAAACCTAACATTTACTCTAGCCACAAACTACTCAATGAAAGAAAACTATGCCATCGGTTCGTAGTTAGAGCATTATGTATTCGTAACGATCGGTCGAACAATTGATGAATTAATTTTGCAAAAATGTTAAGTTTAAAGCTGTTGAGCGTCCTAAGGATATGTCATAGTTAATTCGAATAATCCAGCAAGTTGAGTGTTCTCTTTGCACCTAAACAATTTCAATATTGTAACTAAAATAGTCAACATTAATTGCACGTGAATAATAGAAAAGTGGAACAGAAAATACGTTTTAATTGTGATTTTTGCAAAAATTCATTTAATTTTTATTTATTTAATGGCGACACTGCTTCAAAAGCAGTTCCATCTTGTGTATTATGCTATTTAGTTTGCTTTAAATTAAAACACCAAACAATCTTAAGTTGAAATTGCTTTGAAAGTACCATTTTCATTCAGCTTCTAACTCATTTCAATCACTTCATCTCAGGGGAAAGGGAAAAGGCGATTGTAAGAAAGATGGTAAGAAGGCTGAGAAGAAAGATGACAAGAAGTCTGAGAAGAAAGACGACAAGAAGGCCGATTGCACGAAGAAAGAGCCAAAGAAGAAGGAGGAAAAGAAGGACATTTGCCCGAAGAAAGAATCATCCGACAAGAAGGGAAAATAATGAAATCGTAGATAGAGAATCTAAGCGGAATCTGCCCGTATTTTTCAAAGTTACACCATCCACCAGAAAGAAGCCATTGTTTAAATTCCAAAGCCAAACATACCACATGAGTTTTTCAGTTCCGATTTTAACGCTTTAAAATTCAGAAGTACATTTCTGACCACAAAACAGCCTAGTGTGTTCTAAAAAGTTTTCATTTTGTAAGATTACTGTTTTGTTTATTGTGTGTTAAGCCTTAGAAACGATCGACTAGAGATAGTATGTGGGTCTGCTCCTGTTCCCGCCAGTCAGTGTCGCCATCGCCCAAGTTGCCAGCGTATTCTGTTGAAGAATTAGGGAATTAATTGCTTGTGCTTTGCTTAGAACCCATGGGTATATTTATTTACCCCTCATAATGCTGCGAATGGTTTTCATGGAGGCGCCGCGCAAGTTAAGGATCTGTAGAACGCGCTGTTTGACGGTGTCGCCGGTGGCACTGACCTCCAGCAGGATGTAGTCGATGCGCTGCAGGGTGAATAGCCCTCCTGTTAGCCGCTTTATGTAGTTGTTCTCCGCCTCCTCGTCCTCGTCAATGCTGGGATCCTGTGGGATAAGAATTGTTAATAAATCTAGCAGCCATAATTTAAGATTCCCTTCTTACAGTGCTGCCATCACTCAGCTTAAAAAACAGGACAGATCAGTCAAAAAAAAACGGGGGAAAAAAAAGACTACAAAAATTTAAAAAGGACAAAAAAGAGGACAATATTCTTCAAAATTTTTGTGTTTTTGTTAATACGTTAAATTTTGTGCTTATTTAATAATAAATAAATATTTTTAAAGTCCGTGTTAATCGGCATTTCTTTATGGCTCGATCGTTTTTAAACTTATCGCACAAAAACCGGGCCCCCGAAAGGATATTCTTTTTATTTTTTAACATTAAAACTTTTTTAAAATGAAAAGTCATTGTTTTTTTTTTATCAAAAAACCTAATTTTTTGACTTTTTCCGGTCTTAAAAAAATCTGGAATTCAAGAAATATAAAAATTTAATACAAAAGGTTTGAATCAATTACATCTAACCAGTTTTAAACGAAAAAATCGAAAGTTAGTTGATTTTTTGATGATAAAAACCCAAACAAAACCAACAATTAGCAAAACGAACATTAAATAACTTGTTTTTGAAAAAAGGACAGATTTCCGGACAGGGGATGATTGAAATTTATCCGGATAGAGCCGATTCTCACCTTCGCCTGCTGATCGATCTCCTTGTCGATGGCCTCCACCTTGGCCAGATACTTGAGGTGCAGCTCCAGCAGGCGATCGACCTTCTCGTGATCGTTCTCCGTGAACTTGGCCAGCATTCGCTGGCGGTGAGTGCCCTTGCAATTCCTCAGCATCGAGGCAATCACGGAGGTCACATGCTCCTCGTGCTCATCCGCCGAGATCAGTCGCTGCTTGTTGCGCTTGGGGGTTTTCATGAAGAGCGGAAAGATGGTGCGCAGGCCGAGGATCTCGACGAACTTGTTGCAATTGTCGCGGCCATCCTGACCGGCCATCGCATGATCCAAAACCTTAAGTGAACCGTTCCGGGACATTTTCTTCTCGCGCAGCATCAGGTTCATTAGCTGCAGACCTTCGCCGCTGAGGAATCGATCCCGATTCTCGCGGGCCATCAAAGCGGAACAGAGGCAGTTGAACAGGTTCTGCATGTACTCCTGCTCCTCGTTGCTACCAGGATCGTGTCGCTTGTAGACGGCCAGCTGCTGGAGCAGCACATCCACGCCGTCCAGCGAACCGAGCAGCAGTCGGTTATCATTCTCGGTTTGTATAAGGATTGAGAGGATTTCGCTGCAGTACAGCTTGTTGGGATCGAAGGGCGACTTGCCGCGCAGCCGCTTGAGCAGCCAGGCGAGCAGTCCCTGCTCGGCGGCCTCCCGGACGAACTCGGCATCGATTTCGGTGAGGTTCTCCACAATGGCCAGCGAGTTGTGCACCCCGTCGGCCTCCTCTTTCACCTGCTCGTTCAGACGCTCCAGATTTTGGACGAGCAGGGCGCAGATTTGCTCCTTCCTGAGGGCTTCTATCAGGGATTCGGCGCCCTCCTGACTCTCGCCTAGAATGTCCACATCGGTGACCTCCTGCAGGAGATCCACCACGGCCACTGCTATGTCGGTGTTCTGATGGGCGAGCAGCTCCAGCAAACTGTGCAGGCCATGGAGCTCAACGAGCAGGGGATAGAGATCCGGCACCGTGGCCACGCCCTTCAGCTCCTGGATAACCGTGTGCAGCTCCACCTCCGAGTCCATGAACTTCTCGGCGCTGTCGGCGAACTTGATGCGCATCTCCTGGTTCTTCAAATTGCGCTTCTCGAACACGAGGATCAGTTTCTTGAGGCTCTGCTCGTCCAGCACATCGCCGTCGGCCTCCTCGTTCTCCACGTATTTGAGGATGTTCAGGCGCTCCTCCTCGGTGAGTTCAGGGTCGAATTCGAAGGCGGATGAGCCGCTGGTGGCTCCTCCGGATGCTCCACCCTGTTTGCCATAGTTAGCCGACTCCTTGGCCTCGGCGATGCGCCGCATGCGTTTGATTTTCTCCGTGGCCTCGCCCCGTTTTGCGTGCGAGGCCTCCAAATCGAAGTCCTCGTCCTCGTCCTCGTGCGGACGCTTTGGCGTCTGTTCCGGCTAAAGATCGGGTTGTGTTAGGGAAAGCTATATCCACGGAATTGCTATATATTTACCTTGAACGCCAGCAGCTCACCGATATCCATTCCTAATAATATAGCGATTAATTATACCGGCCCACGGGAAAATACTTTTTATACCATTTTTGTTTTTCAAATATACTAACGACAAATTCCAAACGGTCCCTCTAAAATTGGTTTCTATCGATATTTCACACTAGTTCGTGCGCACTTTACCAATTAATCGCAACAACTGGTGCAGAACCTTGATAAAGCAGGGACTACAACCATTTAACCCTTGCAGTATGCCGTTGTCTTGTTATCTTGCATAATAAATAAAATAGGTAAGTAATTAAGTTACAATAAGTTGCGAAAGTTTTAAGGCCTGAATATTTTTAATATTGAATAGACCAAAATACATATGTTTATAGGACTCAATACTTTTGAAATTTCAAAACAAATCAAAGTCATTTTTGAAAACGCTGCAAAAAAAATGTAGAATTAGGAGAAATTAGCAGGGATTTTATTATTTGGAATCGAAAAAATCATACGCTTTGGATAACAGTAAAAATTTGGGAAAAATTCAAATTACGGTTAAAAAAATGCTGCTAAAAATTTGATGCAAATATTTTTGTAACATTTTTTTTTAATTGTAATTTTGTTTCTGATCACAAGAAATATATTTTTGAAAGGTTTTTTTTTAATAAATTCAAAAAACATCTTCTTATTTTAACTTGAACTCATACACCATTTCTGATGCCCACCACGTCCCCACAGCCTCCCGAGGGGCCTTCGCTTAATTTCAGCCCTGCGCCTGCAACTATGACGACGAGTTTACATAAATTCCTAAAGGCCAAGCCCCAAAAATAATTTTACAACTGCTTTAGGCTCTGGCAATTCAACAAGTTGTTTCGGTCTATGTGAGTGGCTCTGTGGCTGTGTGAGTGAGAGAGTGCTGGTGTGTGTGCTTTCTTCGAGCCAGTCTTTCTTTAAGCCAGTTCGTCAGCGTGATTTGGCGTTGTTGTTGCTGCCTTTGCAGTTGCCTTTGCTATTGGTATTGGTATTGTTGCTGTGGCTGTGGCTGCTGCCGCTTTTTACTCTTTTCTGGCTTGTTTCATGCTGACCCACTTTTGGTGGCAATACGTGAGCCCGAACAGTGGGCCAAAATCGAGGTGCGGTGAAAGCTCTTTAAAAGCTTATAAATAAAAATTACATTTTTCATATTATTTATTTCGATACAATTAATCAAAAGATATTTTGTTAAAATAAAGAATATCATGCACTTAAAAGTATCCCAAATAGTCCATGTTTTTTTCGAATAGGAAAGTATTTATATTTAAGAAAAAATAATTCTATAATTTTAAGTATATTTAAGTATAAGAAAAATATAAAAAAAAAAATATTTGCAAATTTTTATTTATTTATTACACAGATACAGAAAAAAAAGGGAAATTGTATTGACTTTTAAATTCAAAGAATTTTTATTTTAGCTTACATTTAAAAACAATTTATTTAATTTTAAATCTACAAATTTTTAGAATACTCATATACTTAAAGCTTTCTTACAGTTTTTAGAATATTTTTAATAAATATTTGTTCACATTTCCCTTCCGTTTTTTGCAGTAAAAGAAGAATGAAGTCTTTTTGAATGAACTCTTCGAACTGCTGATATATTTTTAGTTTGTCGCTCCCCCAAATAATTGATTAATTTGTACCCAAGCTTTTGGCCAGCTTGCCCACGGTGCCGGGCAAAAAAGTCATAAACTGAATTGCCAACAGGTTATGGCGACGACCACGAAGACGACGGATGGTTTTGTTGCTGCTGCTCGGCTGCGGAGTAGTAAAAAGGGCCATGACAGTGACACTTTGAAGTTTGAGGTTAAATCGTCAATGTTGTTGCCTTGGTCTTGCTCTCTGGTTGCATTGGTTGCTGTATCTGTATATTGCCTTTGCTCTTGCCAACATATTTCGTGCGGCATTATTGTGCTTTATCTATCTTTTTCAGTTACTGTTTTGGTTATTTATCTCTTCTTTCTTTTTTTCGTATATTTTTTAAGCTTTTTTATGCTTTGCAGTGCACTGCATTCAAAAGACTTAGGCAGCGAACTTGGCAAGAAATAACTTTGAACTCACGCATGCTCGCACGTTTTTATGTTTTGGCTTATTAATTATTTTTTTGCCTGTCCACCACTACAACACACGAGTTCGGATTTGAAAAGTGAAATTTCAAAGTAGAACAAGCGGCAGCGGCAGCAAAAGCAACAACGCACGTTTAGAGGTTCCAATAAAAATGGGGTCACTTGTCGTTGGCCAGTCGGTGAAGCCCCAGCCCCCTCCCGAAAGCCCCTCGAAACCCCCATCGAAAACCCCCCGAAAACCCCTCGAAACCCCTCTTTTGAGGCCCCACACTGACCATTGATCGCATAGATCACGCGCCGTCTGTTGTTGTTGTTTTGCCGTTGTGCATTGTAAATTAATTGCAGTCGCGTCGCGTCTGTTTTGGATTTTTTGGCCTGAACCGTTCTCAACCAGTTTTAGGCCATCCATCGTGTGTGCCATTAAAATGCACCACGAACTTGACAACGAAACGGAATAAATGGTGAAATATTTCTCTTCCATCTGAAAGACTTTCCCTGTGACTAGATATATGCACTAAGTTCTGGTATTTGATATTGGGTTAATCTGTAAACAAGTTATTTAATGTGCCAAATATTCATTAATAAGGCTAAGTAATTTGCGAATTTAAATTGTATTTAGTACCAATCTATTAATAAAAGAAAATAAATAGAATAATAGGTAATAAATAAATTAAATAGCTAAAAAAAAACGATTATTTTTTATTTTATATTATTTTTCCCAAGTACAAATTATTTCTAGCTTACATTTGAATTTTCTATTATAACTAAGAAAACGCAACAGAAATTTAACAATATATCTATTTCAAGCACTCATATAAATAAACAGATGGACTTTCCCTCTACATATATTAATACATATCCGGTGTATTCTTGCCTTTGATCTTGTTACAATGCTTTCAAACTTTGTTGCCTTCTGATTTTTTGGCTCGTAACAATAATCAAGTTTAATTGCGTATTTCATAAGATTTTCGTTGTGCACTGTTTGCTTTTGCTGCTAATTAAAGTTTGCTGCAGCTTTAGTGCAAAGAAAAAGAACAATAATAAAACCAGAACAACACTTAAATATTAATAATTGATTATAATGTTATTACAGACATGATTTATTCTCGTTAGAATCTTGGTCAGCCGATCGGCGAGGCGTGAATAAATGCAGCGATTGTTGCAAAATCAAAAGTTGCACTTGGGTTATGAATTTAATTTTTTAATTGCCGAAAAAGAGCGAGTGCATAAATTATGAAAATTGCGAAATTCGAGCTGAAGAAGTCCAAGTATGGATCTTCAGCTCCTCCACTTCCGGCACGCGATCCATTTCCGTTCTGCTTGGCTGTGAAGCGCTTCTTCCTTCCCCCTCCTCACCGCCCACTCTTGCATCAATCAAAGTCTCAATCAAGAGCAAAAGTAATCAAAACTAACAGCAATCAATAGGGGGAAAAACACAATCCGAACAAATAAAGCCAAGCACACACAAATCATGGCCGTAAACAAAAAGGGAAGAAGTTGGGGCAACAAGAGCAAATAAGGCAAAATCGTTAAAAATAACAATATCTATATGTGTGTACAAAATGGCAAGGCAGAGGCAACAGCAATAGCAATGGGCCACAAACAAAAACACAAAAAAAAAACAAGCAACAACACACACACAAAATAGAAATGGAGAGCAACTTTCACCCAAGGTCATTGTGTCTTTAACTGCGCCACAGCACAAAAAAGCCAGCCAGCAGCAGCAGCAACATGGGCAATAGCAACTAGCAACTTGCAACTGCTGGACAATATGAATATGCGACACGACACGATCGTCCAAGCGACCGACGCCCGATTCGCCATTTGGCCAAAAAACAAAAGCCAGAAAATACAACTTGGGCTGAGCGAATAAAGCATACTCTTACTATTTAATTTAATTTATTTTTCTCGTATTTCCAGGTGCTACAACGACTTCCTTATTAATTAATGCACTAGTCACAAATACAAAATTAAATATGATAAAGAACCGAAAATAGTATCATAGAAACTAAAGTATTCGTAAATTAATTCTAAACTATTGAGTTTCAAATATATTTTATTAAGATAATTATTAAATTTATACTTTCGGGAGTGTTATAGATAACCTTTCGGTATAGAAATTCAAGCATAATATATGATATATTATATGAAAAAAATAATTCCATAAAATTAAAAAAAAAACAAATAAGAAAAAGAGGGCTTCAAAATAAAATATGTTTATTAATATTTCTAACCATTTTCGGATAAACGATTTGCTTTTCCAAATAATTATACCAAATCAATTAAATATTTCACTGCTATTAACAGGGAGTGTAATTTTTCTCTCTCAAGTTTAAGATTTAAATTCGTATTTTTAAACCGCTCGAAATAGTTTTTCAACTTTATTTAAGAGTATAAAAAGCCTAGCTAGACCAGCTTGATTGTCTGTCAAGTCGAGGAGTGAATCAGCGAAGAAACTGGAGAGTTCGAGGGGGAAAAAGTATATTTTCTTTGGTTGCCTTCGCTACTGCATGTGCCAAAAATAAACTGAAGCAAATTGCTGACTGCAGTTGTAAAACTCAAAGGCCTGGCCTCCGCAGGCTGGGAAAGGTCGAGAGGAAACCGGCTGATCAGTTACTAGATGGTTTGAGTCGATTTTATGGGGATGTAATCGAATAAAGAGCTGGTTGGTTGCTTTTCTTATTGTACCCAAGCTCTTTTGTCTGACTGTACTGGTTACCTTTATCTGAATATTTTATTTTTCAATGAATGGATTTAAAATATATTTTAAGTTTTGATATTTTGAATATACCTTCCGTAAAGTATCGTTTGTAATCTCCATCTTCATTACTCTTAAGCTGCTTTAACCAACCTAAATGCCTGCTTAGGCATCTTAATCTTAGGCACTTCAATCTTAGGATTCCCCCATCATTCATATTATCTACGCCGACACCTTGATCTGGGTCATGCTTAGCCACATTGTTAGCTGGATGCAATTAAGTGGCCGAAAACTAAAAGATGAGAGAGTGGAAAATTACTTTTAATTGACACAAAGTTTAATTAAAAACGAAGAAGAAGCCAGATAAAAGAAATTCCGCTGAAGTTTGTCTTTTCCGTTTCTAATGCATTTCAAATTACATCATTAAGTTCTCTTTTGCCAAAATCTCTAAATTAATGACCTGAAGATAAACACAGAGAGAAAAATCTACCTATCTAAAATATTTTAAATAATAGTTTTTACAATCTTTTAATATTAAGCAAAAGTTTAAAAATAATTTGGATGGTAGAACAAATATTTCTTTTATTAGTTTTTAATTATTTTTAAATTCCTTAGAAAAGGTAAATTTCCTATAATAAAAGCTTAACCCATGACAGCCGACGCGCCGCAACACGTAGCACAGTTTGATTAGAACAAAACGAAGCCACAAAGGCAACAGAAAAGCGACATAAAAGCAACAGCAACAGCAGCCATGATGTTGCATAAATTTAAGTGCCACAGATACAAGGCGCAAGATACAGAAACGAGTTACAGATACATCAAGAAGCAGAGGCAGAAGCAGGCGCGCCAGCAGATGAGGTCTCTCGTAGAAATGCGGATGCGAACTGGAGACCCCACTTCGCATATATACATATAGAGTATACTACATATATATGGGTATATATCGGTGTCTACCTCCAGACGGGCTGCGGTGAAAGAGCAAAGTATCTTAGTATCTTAACATTTCAAATCCGCTGCGGTTCTCTGTGGAAACGAGTCTGGAAATTGGGTCAGTGGCACAGTATGCATGGCATTCTCCGTCTTCGTCTCCGTCTCCGTCTTTGTATCTGTATCTTTTTCTGTGAGGTACGAGGTACGAGTATATATCCACACATACAATATATATATCCCCTACAACTGTGTGGGCTTCGTTTCTTCGCCACTTCGCTCTTTCTTTGGCTCTTTCTTCTGCGCCTGGCTTTCTTTGTGGTCAATATAATGATTCTGCCCGACTGGCTGGTTCGGTTTAGTTTGGTTTGGTTTCTTGGTCTCTTGGTCTCCAACTTGACTTGGCTCGCATTTTTCTGTGGCTACTACTCCATTTTATTTCTTTTACTTCTGCGGCCGAACGTGCCTCAATGCTACGCCGTCAGGTTGCTAATGGGACCTTAAGAAGCGGGTCCATGGGCGTGTGAGGCATAAGCAATGGGGCAACACCCAAATGTCACTCACTTACCTTTGAGATTCCATCTAAAGCCCAAATTTCCATATATTACGCATACGACATGTGGTGCGGCAGCCAGAAAATATAACGCATTTACGATTGTTGGCTTAGTTTGTTTTGCACATTTTGAATGACATTTGAATTTATTTAAATATAATTAATTAAATATTAGGCATTACAATTAGGAAATAAATATTTACAAATCGAAATGTGTTGAACAAAATTCAAGTTTGCTTTTGTAAAAATAAATAAAATTGCACGATAACTAAAATAACACAATTAATATTGTCTTTTGTTTATAGAAATTATACATACATTTAAATTAGAATTAAACTATTTTAGGGTTTATTTAATTGTTGGTTCTTTCGGGTGCTGAGTGTGTCCAAGGGTTAAAGATAAATAATTTCGGGTATATCGAACATAAGTTAAGGATAAGATTAACGTTAAAACTTTAGCAACAAACTTTTTAAAAAACAAATTAACAACGCTTTACGATATTGGCTAAATTAAATCGAGTTTATTACTTGAGTACATTGCTAAACGATTCTCTTTACTTCCATCGATTTCGGTTTAGATTCTTCTCCTTGAACGTTTCATATTTTGCAAATTGATTATTATGAATAATATTTTGCCAAGCCCGCTACAAATTCTTAGACCTATACGTTCCCAAGATGAACGTTTTTCCATTGGTTTGTACATTTTAAAAGTAATTAATTTATAATTGTTATTGCTTTTGCTTGATTAGTATTAATTTAAAATGTAATTTGTATGCGTCACTATTTCAGTTTTCAACATGATGAGGTACAGACAACATTCAGAGCTTTATACAACTTCCTCTCACCCCCCTCCCTAATTGGTATTATTGTCTAGATTGTTATTAGATAAGATTTACCTGTGCCAGGACCTTTACTGCTCGAAGTTCGCGACCCTGCATCAAAACAGAACAACAGTTGCAGAATGACAATTGGACGCTTCGTTGTTCTTACATTGCTTGTGGTCTCTTTGGATTTTCGCTATTTTTAAAGAACTGGATATGACATACTATGTTTTTTCAGTGGCTAGAGGTAGTAGGTTGATGGTAATGTAACCTTTCAAAAGTGATCTTTAGGATCAAGCATGGGAAAACAGTTGGTCTAAATGGAGACACTAAATTATATAGTTGGAAAATGATATTGGTTTTGGATTAAAATAAATATGTACAGTTACATTAATTTACTCAAGAACATTCCATTTTAATGAACTACAAAAATTATAATTTGTGTCTGAGTAAAGAGCTTGAAAACGATCGATTTTTTCGATACTTTGACAATATCGATTCGATAATAACTATGTTTTCAAGGGGGAAAAATATTAAATATCGAGAAGTAGCAAACTGTCAATATTTTTCCAAGCTCTTCTAGTAAATTGTTTGGCTTCCTGATTTATATTTAGCTAAAAAATCTTTTTCTATTTTTCTAACTTTTATTTTCCCTAACTACGAACAAGCGAAGAGATCAAAAGCAACCAACAACAACGAATATCAAAAAGTGTGTGTATGCCACTGCGTGACCTTTTAAGTGATTTTTCATTATATGCAGTTAGCAAATAGACTGAACAATCTCCGAGTTCTGAACGATACTCAGACATTATCCTGGCCGAGCACTGGCACACACGCACACAGAGAACACAGGGAAAACGCATCCAGCACACAATTTGGAGAATCCAAATTACAGAAAAATATAAGATGAACAAGAACTTGAACCAATCAAATAATATATCAATAACTGACAAAATTCTTAAGTGATTTTAAAATAATTTGTGGGGCTTAAAAAAAGTTAGACACAATTTCAGGAGATTTAAAATCCCTAAAGGTTTCTGTGACTTTTGGAAACCAAACATATTATTTTTAGATCTACAAAGATTTATGTCATTATTTCTCTAAATATCAGAGAGAAGAGATATATTTTGTAAGTACAAAACTTTGACTTTCCAAAGAAACACCACAATTTCTACTTTTTAAAGGCGAATTTGCGGGTTTTTTGGACAGGCTAAGTTCTTGACAAATTCCGATCCCTATTTTTCTGTGCTGCAGATGGAGGTTCTCCCTGGGAGATGCTACTGGTTGTTCGGCTATATCATAAAGCTCGTGTAGGAGCGTCAGTCACGCCCAATTCTCTTGTGTATCTGTTGATGTTTGAGCAGGTGCGCCTTCTGGCGAAAGGCCTTGGCGCAGACGTCGCAGCGGAAGGGCTTCTCGCCGGTGTGGGTGCGCAAATGCACCTTGATGTTGGACTTGTTGAGGAATCCCCGGTTGCAGATGCTGCACCGGTGCACGGGCTTCTCCTTGCCGAGCAGACCGCTCAGATCGCTGGCACTGAAGCCCGATGGTGAAATGGCGCTCATTTGTGGCGTGGTGGCTGGGTTACCTCCATCCCCCTGCTGTTGCTGCTGCTGCTGTTGCTGCTGCTGGTTGGACTTCTTTTGGGACCGCGATCTCTTGGCCTTGGGCGCCCCAGTTCGCATCTCCGAGCCCGTCGTACTGGCCGTTGTCGTGTGCGGATAGTTGCCCAGGAGATCCGGCGAACACAGACCATTGTCCTTGAGCGACAGGCCCGAGTTCTGCAAGGAGTAGCCACCCTGCTGGTGGGGATGACTCCCCGTCGCCTGGCCGTTGGTCGGGTTGCTCAGGTAGCGCGGATTGATCATCAGGCCATTCGGATTGTCCGTGGTGCTGACCACCGAGCCGGGTGGACTGCAACTGCTGCTGGTGGCCGCCGCCAGTTCGTTGCAGTACGAGGTAGATGTGGGCGCCTGGGGCTCCGCCTTGATCCCTGTGCCAGGATTCGCTCCTCCACCCGAGGAACTGCCATTCGGCGGCCCGTTCTGCAGGCGATTCTGCAGCAGCGGCATGTATCCATGACTCAGTAAACTCTGGAGCGTCGAACTGCTGGCGTGCATGGGCAGCGGACTATGGGGCAGCATAAAGTCGCCCAGGGAGTCCTGCTGCGATACCAGGACCTTGGCCGACTCCTGCTGTATGCAATTGCCGTCGATCCAGGCATCGAGATCCATCCAGCTGTCCCGCGTATCGTTGTTATCGTCCTTGTCCAGCTGATTGGGCACCGTGGTGTCCGCAATGGCGGAACCTATGATGGCGGCTATGTCGTCTATCGAGTTCATATCCACATATTCCGTGAGATCCTTGTAGATCCGAACGCCGGAATTGTGCAGGGAATCGGCCACCTGGTCGATGGGCGTTAGAGTGGCTATGCTGGGACCGGCTCCATTGGCTCCTCCATTTCCCGAGGATCCCGAAGCGTTCATCACACAGCTATCGGCCACCGAGTAAAGCTTAGAATCTAGTTGACTATCGGCGAAGAGCTTCACGTCCGCCAGGCAGGCATCGTTCCCACCTCCTCCTCCGCCGCCATTATTACTTCCACTCAGGACACTTTCTGGTAGGCAGGTGGAGGAGGAGACTATGTTGTGCTCGTTGGAATTCGAGTTGCTGCTGCTGCTGTGGGACTGGGATGTGGGATTCGTTTGGTTGCTGCTCTGCTGGTGGTAGGCACTCTGCATGTAGTTGTTGTTGCTCTCATCCGGCAGCCTCTGGGCAATGGCATGGTAATGGTGGCCGGAGATCCCATTGATGGACAGGTGGCCCGTGTAGCCGGTGAAGGGCGGCAGCGGCTTCAGATCGGACAGGGCGTTCAGGGAGGAGCCGTTCAGCAGTAGATTGTCGAGGACATCCAGGGAGTTCTTCTGATCGGCATCGCTGGGCAGGGAGTCCAGGTCGTGCTCCAGCAACAGCTTGTGCCCGTCGAGCAAATACTGGTCCTGGGCGGACGTCTGGGGCGGTCCCCAGCAGGGACTCATCAGCAGGCTCTCGACTTCCGATTCACTTGGGCCGTTCATGCTGCAAAACTTCATTGTCAGTGGACCCAGGCGATCGAGGCGAATCTTCCGGCGATCCGAGGGTGATCAGATCCTACGCTATCCAAGGGCCAAGTTTTAGCTGCAAAGATATTGGATAGGAAATTGTTTTTTTAGTGTCGTACTATCTTAATAATTCATTTATTAATGTCGTTACTTATCTAACTAATCCAAAATTTTTTTAATTGATAATGCTTCAAAATTTACCCATTTGGTACATTATAAAAATATTAGGTATTAAAGCGTATTCAAGAGTTATTTCAATTCAATCTTTATTTTTAATTTTTATTATAAAAGTTAACAAATAACTCTTATTTGTTAATGTTTATAATAAAAATTGAAGCGTAAGAGTTATTTGTCAACTTTTATATTACAAATTGGAGAATAAGAGTTATATGTCAATTTTTTTGAATAGGTTAACTCTTATTTACGATCCCTCAAATTATAATCTTAATTCCACTTCCCAGCTAACTTCATTCATCAAAATTAAGCTGGCCCACTGATCCATTCTTAGATATCTTAGATCTTTAAAATCCCCCATTATCCCCCAAGACGGAGTTTAGGCTTGGATCGCAATTAAGCTTAGACTAGACCCCACCTCTATATAATTAATATCAGGTTCTATCCCGATCCAAACTCCCTGCACTTGCTGACAACCTGACACATCGATCCCGACCCACTGATAGCCCTCACTAATGATTCTTTAATATGAAAATATTAAACAAAGCTCCGGCCCGCCCGTTGACCAAAAATATATTTTTCCACGGGCCTTCCCCACTCCCCTTTCCCCTTTCCCCTTACTTTTTAACCCATCCCCAAAAAGAGATTAAGTTAAGACATTCGATAAGCCTTAATGTCCGTAAACAAGAAGAAGAAGAAGCGGCGGCGGCATGGGATGCATAGGAAAGCGAAGAAGAAACTAAAATCGATACCAGAATCGGCCAATAATAATTTCCAAGCGGTATTTGGGTCACAACATTAATAATCAGTTAAATTAGCATATAAATTGGTGGCGATAGAGCGAGAGGGTGCTACAATGTGGGAAAGAGAACGCATTTGGCTACGAATGCGCGATCGAATTCGATATTTGTATTTCGATGGTGCACGCTTGATTGGAAACCAAGTGGAAGTTCTCCAAACTACCAAATCCAAAGCGACATCATATGAAAGACCGACAATGAAAGCACAACAAAAAACGCACAGGTGTAGACCCAAAAAACTAAGAGAAGAAGAAGCAATGTCGGCCCACACTGGACTCCAGCAATTATACACACTGAAAATAATAATAAAAAAATTTCAAATGAAATACGAATATTGATTAAGTTTTCGAGCTGCAAAAATCTTAAGTTTAAAAATCAACAATTATACCAAAATACGATCTCCAATTTCCATTTTTAAATGATCATTTAAACCTTTTCTTTTAAGTGTATAAGTTCATTTGGTTAACTAGATGCAAAATAATAATAAATAAAAATTGTTTTAGGTTTAGATAAGCACAAAGCTTAACTTTAAGAACTATTTATTTTACGATTTACGATCTTAAATTTAAATTATTAAATGATCACTTAAACCTTTTCTTTTAAGTGTATAAGTTCATTTGGTTAACTAGTTGGAACACAAAACGAATGAAATGAAAGAAACGGTAAAGCACAACACTCCCCTCCCCCTAACCCCCCGCGTTTTCTTTCTCTCTCTTTTGTGCATAAACAGTTAACTTGATTTCGAGGCTTGGCCGGCAAGAAGAAGACGCGGGCGAAGAAGTGGCCGAGGCCGAAATCAAAGCTAGACACTGTCCAGCTTAAAGAGAAAATTTCGCTTTCAACAGGTTGGCGCTTTATAGCCCCATATCGCCGGATCCACAGCAACATGTTGCCAGTTCAGCTAGCATGCGGAAAGAAGAAGAAGACGAAGAAGCGGCGTAAGCAGCAACAACAACAGCGGCTCAGTCGACGTCGACGTCGGCGTCAAGCCAGGTAAGCAGGCGCAGCTAAGCGTGGCGGCAGAGCTGCGACTGCGGCAGAAAAACTACCGTTAGCCGAGAGACGACGAGAAGAGACCTGCTGACATACTTCCGCGATCGGCAAAACCCGAACCGCTGTTGCCGAAGCCCGGCTTATTCTCTCTCGCTCTCCCTCTCGCTCTGCCATTGTAATTGTGGAGTTTTTGGATGCTCATGCTCATTCTCATTACCAACTTTTTGTTGGCACAGTTTCGGGGGATTTTTGTTTTTGTTCGAAGCTCTTCTTGGATTTTATGAATTTCAGATTGCAGTACATGAAGTGAAAAAAATAATATTAATATATTCCCAGCATTTCTTTAACCCATTCATCAGCGAATAAAATTATTTATTATTCTGGTATTACTAAAAAAATATAGGAATATTAAATTAAATTAATTTCTAGTAAGTATGAACATATTTATACCCGTTACTCGTAGAGTAAAAGGGTATACTAGATTCGTGCAAAAGTATGTAACAGCTAGAAGGAAGCGTTTCCGACCCCATAAAGTATATATATTCTTGATCAGGGTCACTAGCCGAGTCGATCTAGCCATGTCCGTCTGTCCGTCTGTCTGTCTGTCCGTCTGTATGAACGCTGAGATCTCAGAAACTACAAAATATTCTTTGGCTTCCTACGCAGCGCAAGTTTATTTTAGCCGAGCGCCACGCCCCCTCTAACGCCCACAATCGCCCACTAACGATTTTAAAATGGGTCCTGCGCCCACATCTTTAAAGATTTCCGAGAAGTATAAATGCAATATTTATAACTATCGAAATGTAGAAGACATTTTTCAAATCGGACCATTCATTAAAAAGTTATACGCAATCAAAAATTATATATCTATCTCCCTCGCACTCCCTTTAGCTGAGTTACGATTATTAGTCGGGACACCAACCCGACACAGCGTTCGCACTCCCTTTAGCTGAGTGACGGGTATTAGATAGTCGGGACAACAACCCGACTATAGCGTTCTCTCTTGTTTTATAACATATGAACCATTTTAAATATGTTTAAAAGTAAGGCTGATATAATATGATTAATTTTTGTATGATGTTGTGTTTAAAAATGTATTTTTCTTAACTAAGTTCAAAATATAGTACCCTAATTTAAATTATATATAGTTACTTTATAGAAACCAAGTAAAATTTGAAATTTTACAGATAATCCAAATAGTTAAGTGTACTTTGGAGGCGCTATAAGCCTGAGTGAATCGGGAATCGAAACTGGCGTGAAATATTTTATGGCAAACAAAAACGCCACTCATTCTCATTCCATTCCCATTCCGATTCAGATGCCGTATTCTATATCTGAATCTGAGTCTCCCATTGTTATTGTTTGACTGCGCGTCAGATTTTACACATTTTTGTTTGGCCGGCGTTTTATTGTTGCTTCTACATGAGCATTTTGCTTTTAATGAGCCACATTGTAACGGTGGTCCGCTGCTCCGTTTGCATTTGAATGCCCACCAAACACACACATACACACACACACCCACCTGAGAGACCCCAACACCATCACACGATTTGCGGGGGCGCGCCGCACAATGGGCCTCTATTGTAATTTAAGCTTGTAAATGGTCAGAAGAGCCCACAATGGACAATGTCAGCCAGCCGACAGAGATCGGCTGTGGGGGCATTATAATTACTGCTATGTCAGTCAACCGGGCTGAAAACCTTTAACGGTTATTCCGAACGAATTGGTGCGAATTTTTGACAGCCGAGTGATTTTATGACCTCTCTGTTGGTTTTAAGTGCCTAATGTGCTAGTGATGCTGGGGTTAGATTTTGGTTAATTGTTGAATTATGAGTGAGAGCTAAATCAAAAATTGCTTCTAAATAATTAAAGTAAACTATTAGTTTGAAATCTAGAAGTACATTAAAAGTATTAGTTGATATAAAAAGCTTTTTAATTTATTTTAGAATATTAAATGCACTCAAAACAAAAGACTCAAGACACGAACTTGGTTATCACCATCACCAATTAACTAAACTATCTGCTACTCCAATATATAACCTTAAAGGTTCCTCAGATAACCCTGCGAAATCCCTTCACAATCGCTCTCAAAGTCCCTGGACAATTGATCGACCAACTATCTCAGGTCGAAGACAAAAAAATAACTTACTTAACCATCTAACAGGCAACTAAATGTCTGACCCGAGCAATTGACCAGCGAAATGAACTCTAAACTGCATCAACAACACGAACCGCAACAACAGCTGCTGATCAGATGGAAATTGAGTTCTTAACGTTTCCTAGAAAACTCGAACGGAAATTGGTCTTAACCTTTGGCGGCAATCAACTTCCGTTTAAATGTTCGAACACGATGCGGCGGCAAAGGTCAAAACGTTTTGGCCAAAGTCAAGCTGCAAACACTTTCCACCCGCCTCCTCACGGACCCGAAAATGAAAACAAAAATCAGGTCGGCATTGGTGTTTTCCGCGGGGCGGCTGGGGAGCGGATCGTTGGAAAAGCGAATGAAAAATTATTTGATTGCAAAATTTACAACCGCAAGAAGGAGAAAAACAAAAAAAAAAGAAAAACCGCACGTACCAGCTTCCACTGGGGAGAAGAGGAAAAAACTTTGACCAAGACCGAGAAGCCGAAAAAAAGCCTCGGAAACGTGTGGCTTGCATTGAGGTCGCCATCAGTCATTGAAGGTTTGCGATGCTGCGAGCTTGCCCCGCCCCCCTTCCGCCCCTATCCCATCTATCTTGGCCCACTCGGATGTGGATGCAACAAATTGTTGGCAGTGAAAAACGAACGAGTCGAGAGGCGAACCAACTTGAATTGGCCAGTCCGCAGATCGAATACTCTTGGGTGCTTTTCCTTAAGCCGTAATAAGCCGCTTTAAATTCTATGGCGAGTGCCTGTCTGAGCTATCGAAGAAATTGGGATTCAGCTTTGGTCAGAAGTCTGGGAATTTGACTTTATATTCTTTAGATAAAGTGACCTACATTTATGCTTTTTTCATCACTATTTTTTTTTATTATTTAATGGAATTTTGCATATTTAGGAAAACGTTAAGGATAATATTTATATTGACTTGTTTTTAAATAAATAAATAATATAAATATTT